GGTCAGGGAGGGACGTCCTTGAGGTGAGGGGGAGGATCAGGAGGGGGAGGCCCCTTTGAGGCTGGGGGGGAGGTCAGGGAGGGGAGGCCCCTGTGAGGCTGGGGGGGAGGGTCAAGGAGGGGCAACCCTGTGAGGCTGCGGGGGGGATGGTCAGGGAGGGGGAGGGCCCCTGTGAGGGTGCGGGGGGGGAGGGTCAGGGAGGGGGAGGCCCCTGTGAGGCTGGGGGGGAGGGTAAGGGAGGGGGAGGCCCCTGTGAGGCTGGGGGAGGGTCAGGGAGGGTCAGGGAGGGTCAGCCCAGGGCTGCCCTGAGGGGCAATGGGCACATGCACAGAGGGCGCTGGGCAGGCGCTCAGGCTGCAGGTTGAGTTCACTCAGCCATGGGGTCCCCAGCAAAGCCGTGGGGCACAGACACTCTTGTCCACTCTGTGCCCATCTGTCCGGGGCCTGCGCCCCTCACCTGCCCAGCAGTGCCATCCCAAGGTGCAGGCCGGCTCCGGGATGTGAAGGCCCTTGTAAACTTGCAGGGAGATGCCAGGCTGGTGCCTGGCGGGGGAGGAGGCGGCTGCTGGACCCTGGCTCGGGTGGTGTTGGGCTGGATGTGTCTCCAGAAAGAAGGGGGCAGGTGGGCTGTTGTCTGTGCCCCCTCTGGGCTCCAAGCTCTGCCCAGCTCACTTTCTGGGACGTGCAGGCCCAGCCTCCCCTTCAACCCGCCACACCTCAGCTCTGCGTGGGGGGGCAGGAGAGGGGTGGTGGAGGGGTGGAGGGGGCAGGCGGGCAGATGCAGAGGAGGGCGTTGGGACTGGCTACGTTCGTTAGTGCTGTGAGTCCTCTTCCGATGCTAAGAAAACATAAATAACCTCGTCAGTGTCCACACTGCCCCGAGCCGGGGGGCGCGGCCAGGGAAGAGTCTGGGGGGGGGCTGGCCGCCGGGGGCGGGGCATCAGTTCATCCTCGCGGTTGGGGACCTGGGGGGCGGGCAGGGCACTCCGGCCCGAGGCAGTCGGTCCTCGCCTCTGCCGCCGTGGGCCGCGTGGGTGTGCGCAGGCCCCGGCGCTGCAGGGCGGCGTGCGCACGCGCGGGTGCGGGGCTCACTTGCAGGTGAACACCTCCGTGCGCTCGCTGCACGTGTTGCAGCGGACGAAGCAGCACCAGTGGAACTTGCAGTTGCACTGCCACACCTTGGTGTACTGGTGCGTGTTGTAGCCGCGGCCGCAGCACATGGTGTCGCAGCCGTCGGCGCCTGGGGACGTGCGGTTGCACAGGCGGCCCTGCGTGCCCACGCTGCCCGTGGCCGCGTCCTCCTCGCAGTAGTTGGGCGACTTCTCGATGTACACCAGGTCCGTCTCCATGGGCTTCTGGTAGCTGCGCAGCTGCTTGATGCGCAGGAAGGTGGGCTGCCGCAGCGGCTGGCCCGCACCACCTCCACCTGCACCGCCGCGTTGTACTTCTCCTTCAGCAGGCGGCCCACCTCGCGGAACTTGGGCAGCGTGATCCAGCACGTCTTGGTGGTGCACGAGCCCGACACGCCGTGACACTTACACTCCAGCTTCATCTCGGTCCTCCAGACCTGAGCAGACGGCGCGGGTGGGGCCTGGGGCAGGGCCGCTTCCCGGTCCGTCCCTTCCCACCCCCACGTCGTCCCTTCCCAACC